ATTCGCGGTGTTTGCTTGCTGGCTTGAGAAGTTTAGATTCAGTCTGGCAGGATTTTGTCTTGTGGGTGGGAACCCATAAAAGCTATCGAACTAGACCTGTACTGTCTCATGGAGTTCTTTGGGCTGAACCTGACAAAAAGAGGGCTAATGTGTTGCGGACCAAAATGGGGTTTTGCTGTCAATGAACCACCAAGTGTTAAATTTAGTGCAAAACAGACCCAATCATATGAAACTTAAACTAATACTACCCAGACAATTGTATTGCAGAAACAGATACATCCTGGAAATTGCCCCATTTTGCTTATCTACTTGTGGTGAAGGGAAAAACACCAGCCTCCATTTGAGTAAACCACAGCAGCAGAGTATGAGCCTAAAGGTTACTCTGATGAAGGAGCAGGTGTGGAGGTTGCAGAAGGAGGTTGAGGGAGATGACAGATGCCAGAGGACAACAAAGAAGAACATGCAGAGAAAGCACTTGCTGGATTATCCTCATTGGGCCTGTACCTCCCCCCCCCACAAAAAAACACCACCTGATTGGTCAAGGCAGCCAAGTCTCTTGTGCTGCTATATGCCTGGCCAATGGGAAAGAGGCTAATGATGTCATGAAACTTTGCAAATCTCTCCTCACTCCAAGCACTTCTTGGAGAAATCAATGGAAACTGTGTGTTCCCAAAATAGAGCCAGGTTTATGGGATTGTGGGTTCTCAGAATCACTGATCTGACCTGGTTAGTGGTTGAATGGGTACACATGTTCTAGGAATAAGACAATGATTCAACTCTTCATTTGAAAGAAGAGTAAAATATAAAAGTCCCTTTAAAAAAACAGAAAATCTGTTTAATGGAATTTATCATGAAGATTAAAAAAGATAACGAAGGTATCTTTCCAGCTTCCATTGTAATGGAAGTTTTCATATGGCCTCTGTTGGATTTACCTACATTTTTAATAATTAAAGAGTTTTTCTCCATCTATAATAATTATCCCAATTAATATGAGATTAATAATCATATTCCAGTGCTTCAGTTAAAGGGCTGAGGTGAACAAGAGAACATGCCTAGATGATGTTATACCCACCACCCAAATTTGAAATAGATGGTCAAGAACATCTAGATGACTAAGGAAACATGAACAATATAGGTCATCAAAACTAAATCATCCTAGTAAATTCATCAACATGTTAAATTAAGGGCAGGGGGGTGCCTTCAAGTCAGTGCTGACTCCTGTGACTGCCTGGACAAGTCCCTGCAGTTTTCTTGGCAAGAATTCAGAAATGCTTTGCCATTGCCTGCTTCCTATGGCTGAGAGAGAGTGCCTGGCTCAAGGTCACCCAGCTGGTTTTGTGCCTAAGGCAGGACTATAAAAGCTCACTAACAAAGGATCCACCAACCCATACTTGCTAATGATAAAAAGAATGAATCAAATATGTGAATAGAAAAATGCATTAGGCCTAATATATTCTGGTAATGGCCCATGTTTGTCATGGTTACCATGAATTCCAAAACAATGTGTTAAACTGTTCTTGAAATAAATTAAAAAAAAAAAACGAGGACAAAGCTTAAAAAATATTAAAACCATCCTAATGACCCATGGAAACAATAGGAAGTAGAAAGGTTACCACATCAAAGAATGTCTATGAGATAGATGCATCCAATAAATTGTTTTATGAAACTATCCTTTTCTACTATAGCATTTCTGCCTTTCTACACATCTCTCCAAGGTCACATATCATATACTATAAAAATGTTTTTTCTGCTGTGGTTTTATGTCTAGTTCATTAAAGTTTCACCTCCTGATGTCACTAAAAATATACCTGAATTATGCATATATCATATATAACATGCAATATAAGTACTATATTGTTTTAGAATTGATATGTAAATAGCATACGCTTTAAACCTGATTAGTGATCATTAATGAAAATCTTGAGATCATTTGATCTAATTCAGCCCTACAAGCAGTTGTGTATATAATATGGGTTGCAATGTTTCTTCTGTAGCATATGACAGCGCTGTCATTTCTAATGGCATTTAATAATCATGGCTGGACAATCTAAGTGTATGTATGTGAGCCACAGAAACTGAAAATAACTCCAGACAGTTATTTCCATCTTTTTCACCTTTATCAGTAATTATCATTTTCAAAGCTGACAATATAAACTCTGTTTAGCATGGGAGAAATAAGAACTAAAGTAGGTTTGCTGGTATTACTGTAATATCTATATAGAAAAAGACAATTATTGAGTTTTGCCATTCCTTTACCTTACCTAATCAAGACACAAGGCTGCAATCCATTGCTTATCTTCCTCGGAAGAAATCCCACTGAACATTGTTCATTTTAACTTTAAACAAGCTTGCATTGGTAATTATGAAAGAAAGGTCTAGATAGTATCTGTTGATATATCATCAACTCAAGTTTGATCAAGGAGTTGAACCCAACTTGATGGCATTTAACTATCTCTGCTATTTATTATTACATTTTAAACTAGACTGTTGTGTGTTAAATGGGGAGGGGAGGGGAGGGATAGCTTCACTTTGGCAGATTGCTAAAGATATTTGATACAGTGACATCATAATCATGAACCAGTATCAGAAAGCAAAGCATGTAGATAGTAGAGACTCAAATTAAAGTTATTTTGAGCCATGAATTCTATAAGATATATGGGAAACATACATGCATTTGTGGAGAAGGGGGTATGCAAATTATTGTGTTTTTTCCCCTAGTAATTGCTTTATTGCATTAAAGCACATGAATAACACATTATTAAATACAGATATTAGCTGGGTACAGTCGTCTTTATGCAATATAAACTAGAAATTGTTAACATTATGATGGTTTAGATAAACTAAGCCTTTAAGGAGAAAAAAAGTTTATAACAAGGTTCAATATAATTTCTAAAATGTTAATAAACAAAGTTGCTTGAATTGTACAATTAAAACTAAGAATGGCATTGATAGACAATTGCAAAGTGCATTAAATTATTTTAATAATATAAAAAAGGTTTCTATCTTTGAACTTAATGCTTAATCTAAGGTCTCCACTATATTGTTATTTATTATTGTTTATAAATGTTTTTTTTAAAAAACAAAACAAAAAGAAAAAAAAAGGAGCCACTTGGAAAAATAAATATTTGATTTCTAACTTCCCCCTTCTTATACTCTGACCGATTTTCAGTATTTATAAACATTTAGACCCCCTTAGAATCTATACCATTATTGTTTCTCAGCTCCACATCCCCATTAGCAAAATTAAACTAGGGCCAGTTCACAATTTCATTGCACTAGTTTTTAACTCAGAGCCATGTTTAACATAACTACAGAAAGCTGCAGAAGATACTAGAGACAAATGTTTGCATCGCAATAGCACTTTAAATGACAATGCAAAAATTTCTGCAGTGCACTTCTCATCCTTGACATTGTTTCCCTGAAGCTCCAAAATTGGCAGTCACTTTGGTTACTTACATGGCTGGTATAGTTCAGAGCTACAGACTGAACAAGGGCTGGAACAGGCAACAGAATTGCTGGTCTGTTTGTCTTAAGCAAACCAGGCACAGTCAAGTCTCAGCTTTTGTGCTGCTTAGCTTACCATTCACACATGCTCTTATTGCACATCCCTCTGCACTGTTTTTAATTTAATAGTGAAATACAGAAACCTACAGCACCAACAGGGGGAAAAAAGAAAATTATTCCATGAAAAAAAAAAAACCCTAGATATATTACAGCAAAAAAAAAAAAGCTAAATTTAAGAAAAGAAAAGAAAAGAAAAGAAAAGAAAAGAAAAGAAAAGAAAAGAACCAATTAAGGGGGAGAGGAAAAAAGATCTATATAATTAATTCCTTAAGCTTATCACCAAATCTAGACCATACAGAAACATATTGCTTCATCTTCTCATTTCACCTTCTTCATTTTTAGAGCAGAGACTTTTCAAAAATCCATAATAGACTTAATACCTGGATCCATTCCTTAAAATCAGGGGTGTAAGTTTCTTTCTAGTCATGCAAAATTATTCTGTTTGCTGCACTCCAGGCTCAATACAGCCAAAGCTCTTCATGAATTGACCAATTCTGTGTTTTAGGAATACAGTTCAACACTGCATTAAGATTCTTAATTATAGTAGAGTACAAAATTATATATGTAATGATTTAAAATCAAAACCAGATATGGATTAAAGAACCTTCACATATCTTA